TGGGCTGGGCTGGGCGGCCTCGGGTTGCCAGGTGACCGTGAGGCTGCCGCTGTGTGTTTCCTGGCCAGCGGGAGGTTCTCTGGCGCGCTTTCCAGGAGCAGAGAAGGCGCCGTCCCGGAGAGCCTGAGGAGTCGCTCCGGGAATGGACACTGCAAGAGAACCACCACAAGGAAGTGCGGCCTGAGCGGCTGCTTGGCCTGGAGTCCACGCACTGAGTGCACAGCCCCTGCGCCCGGAGCGGGGAGAGCACAGCGTTTCTGCAGAAACCCCCCCGGGGCGGCTGGCAGCTGGGCAGGAGGGCCGAGACGGAGGCTCTCATGGCCTGGGGTAATATAGCCAGTACCCCCCCCAAAGTCGGGTCCTGGGGAAACCTGGGCCTCCCCACTGCAGCCGGCCCAGTCTCCCGGGGACCAGCGAGCAGGTCTTGCCCAGAAAGGAGGGTTGATGTTGGAGTCCGGAGCCCTGGGGGCCAGAGCGAGCCCGCGCCCCCGCCCGGCCGTCTCACCCTTCAGAGCCCTCCTGCAGGCCGCCAGCTCTGCTGCTCAGGCCCGCGAGCCGGTGAGCCCAGTGTGGAAGGCGAGGGTCTCCCTGTCCAGCGCGGTCTCCATCAGCTCTGCCGGGCGGGGGGCTTCTGAGACGGTGGCAGAGGGCCTTTCACGCCCGCCCAACCCGCTCCTGGAAGAACCGCTGTGTGCCTGAAGACCTGGGCTCCCGGCAGGTCCCACCAGCAGCGGGAGGCACCGAGGTGGGGGCCGGGAGTTGCTCGAAGCTTACCAGGTACCCCACGCCCTTCAAGAGGCCACTTTGGGCATCAGCGTCCCTGTCGCTTGCATGGTCACTGGACTGGCTTTGTAGCTTTCTCCAAAGGGCCACGGACGTCCCCCCAAACCACTGCTGTTTTTTTTTTTTTTATTAAGATTTTAAAACTTCTCTTATGCACACAGACCTGGGGTACACTGTGGCCAGAGGTGCAGGTGAGAATGACATTTCACCGGAGACAGCGGGGAGCAGAACAGGGAGACCACTGCCGAGGGGAGCAGCCGGGAGACAGGCGGGGTCTGCTGTGCTCTGTGGGCGCCTCCTGGGCCGGGTCGAACCTGCACTGAAGCGGCGGCCAGCCAGCGCTGCGCTCCAGTGTTGGGGTGCGCCTTGGCGTGCCTGGGGCCAGGGCATTCCAGCTGAGCCGGCGCCCGGACCCGGCAGACACCCATCCCTGGCCAAAGAGGAATGGCGGGCAGGCGCCCCGCCCCCGGCCGGCGCCCATCCCAGGCTGGCGAGGCCGACAGCAGACAGCGCGGCCTGGGAGGCCTGCGGTGCCGTCCCGGGAAGGGCTGCTGGCCTCTACCTCTGCTCCCCTTTGCCCCCAACAAGCCAGCAACGGCACCGCTAGGCTCCCTGCCGGGAGAGGCCAGAGTCCAGTGAGTGAGCCACTGCGCTGGCCGGGCCTCGCTGGTCATCCCGGTGCTGACTGCCTTGTGGACTCAGGACTGCCCGGCCCTGCCCACTCACGGGAGGGGACCATCCTGGGTGAAAGGTGCTTCCAGGCACCTGGGCGTGTCCCCCAAATTCGCCCTGCCGCAGGAGTCGTGGTGACTGACCACTGGCCGTGCCCACACCTGCCGCGTCATCCGGCCTCCTGCGTTGCTTGTGGCTCTCTTTCTGGACACTGAAAGGACCACCGCCTTGTGTGCAGGTTGGGAGGTTAACACGCTGTCACGGTTCTCTCCTCGCAGGACAAAGCACATGTCTTAGTGCTCAAGCCAGGGAGAAGGTGCTGGGCCAGGAGAATGCCCCTCCTTCCAGGGTCAGTCTGACTGACGGGCGATGAGGTAGGCACTGGGCTTGCAGAGCAGCTCCGTGGGTCTTAAATACGGTGATTACGGCCGGAGAGCTGACCCCTGGGAGAGAGGCCGCCGCAGCACCTATCTTAGGGCTCCCTGGGGAAGTGATGTCGCCTGGAGGTGATTAGCAGCTGGGTCGAGAGCAGGAGCAGGAGGTGGCGACGCAGTCAGAGGAGAGAGAAGTGGCCCTGGCTGGGCCTGACCGGGACGTCAGGGGCCAGCAGGCTGCTGGGCAGCCCCGTGCTGGGCAGCGGCAGCGGTCAGGCCGGATGGGAGCAGCCGAGGCAGGTTTGGGCGCTGCGGCAGGTGCTTCTCCCGGCCCCTTTTCCTCTATGTGTAAAACAATCACTCAGGTTTCACTCCTGGAGCATTTTCAGCAGCGTCTGACTTGCGCTTCAGGAAAATGCGGTGACATCTGGAGAGTAGGTTTGGGCAGCTCAAAGCAGGCCCAGGAGCCTTGCTGGGTGTGTGTGTGTCAAGGTTGATTTATTTATGCACACAAGGACTGGGGTGCAGGCCCGAGGAGCAGGGGGTGAGAGGACTCCCCGAGACAGAGCGGGGAGCAGCACAGGCGGGTCCACTGAAATGCACAGCTGAGGGGGGCGGGAGACGGGAGGGTCTGCTGGCCCTGGGGCCCCTCCCGGCGGGCTCCAACTCGCGCCTCAGCGGCTGGGCAGCTGGGCAGCTTCGCAGTGCTGCGCTGTGACCTGTTGCACACCGGGAGGCCTCTGTGCTCATTGTTTCTGTTGGTTCTCACTGTGAGGCCTTGCGGTGAGGACAGTTACCGTTGACTGTGCTGGGCATTGTATTTCAAAATTATCTGCAGGAAAAATTTGAGGCCTAGGTGATAGATTTTACATGTGCTGGCCTCCCTGGGGGTACAGGGTGGAGTCGGCATGGGGAGGCTGTCCACAGCCACTGCAGCGCGAGGTCCATCCCCGGCCAGGGAGTGACCCGCAGGCTGCAGCAGGCCCTCCTGTCTCCCGCCCCCTCAGCCGTGGGCTGAGGGTCCACCTGTCCTGCTGCCCACTCTGTGTCTGATGAGTCTTCTCACCCTGCACCTCTGGCCTGCACCCCAGCTCCTGTGTGCATAAATAAATAAAATAATTCTTTAAAAAAAAAGATTCTAGGGCTGGCCCTAAACTGTATCTCCTGGTCATTGCTCACCCCTGGAATTGCTGTGCCAACCACAGGCTGGGCGCTTTACAGCCCGGCTGTCCCGGAAGTCTGTCCCGTCTCTGTGGCCAGGAACCTGGCCCAGAAGCCTTTGTTCCTAGGGCAGACTTGGCCCTTAGTGGCCTCTCAGGCTGTCTGGCCAGGTTTAAAGGTCTGCGGTGGCCAGCGGCCAGCACTGACTCTGGAATGTGGCTGTCGTGCCCCGGCCACAGACAGCCCAGGGGTCCAGGCCCTCCCGCTCCCTCTTCTCCTGCCCAAGGCTGGCGCCCCAGGTCCCAGAGCACTGGCAGCCAGCCGGTGCCCCTCCCAGGGCTGGGTCTCACCCAGGCTGGTGGCCAAGCCTGTGAGCTGTCCTGGGAGGGCGTCTTGGAGGCCGGGACACCAGCGCCTTCACCTTCAAGGGTGCGGTGGGCCCAGCGCTGCCCAGCCTGGCGGAGTCTGAGGGCCGACGGTGAAGGGATCCACGCTCAAGTAACAAGCGCTGCTTGCGGCCGCGCCGGGCCGGGCCTCGTCCTTGGGAGACCGTGGAGACGGACACTGCTGCCAGGGCTCCCGTCGGGGTGCCCACTGGAGGGCGCGGGGGGACTGCAGGGAAGCCCCAGAGCAGCAGGGAGCCGAGGGTCCCGCGGGGTCCGGGCACCTGGCCACCCGCACAGGAGCAGGTGCCGGGGTTCAGGCGGCTTTGCAGCCTGGCGGCTGTGAGCACTGTCCGAGGAGCCCGGGTGGGCCACGCGTGGACTCGCAGCAGCCGCGAGCCCCCCCACCCCTAGGTGTGGGCTCCCGGGAGGCTGGGCCACACCCTGGGGTCCGAACCAAGCCGCCAGGCTGCCTTGTAGAGGCTGAGCTGCGTGGACGATTGTGGGCGGGAGCCCCCGCCGGGCACCAGGGGCCTGAGCCAGGCTGGGCGTTTACAGGCAGCGCCTGGACGGGTGTGGGCAGCTGGTCTGTGGCCAGCAGGCCCCAGGCTGTGCTTGTGCCTGGCCGCGTGGGCCGGCGGGGGGGGCAGCTGGTCAGGCCGCCGCCTCTGGGCAGCAGCCGGGTCTGAGGGCCTGTTGTCAGACTGCCTCTCCACTCTGGGCTCCAGAGAGGGTCCCACTTCCAGTGAGGCCGTGCCGGGCGCTCAAAGGTCAAGGAGGTGTGTCTGAGACAGACAGGTGTGCTGCTGGGTGGGAGGGGCCGGGACTCAGCCATCAGGGTGGCCCCAGAGCCTGTGAGCCGGGCACTGGGCACAGACGGGCAGGGGCACCGGCCGTTGAGCCTTGAGGCGCAGAACTGGACTATGATGGCGGCAAGGGGCCCAGAGCGTGTGGAGACGTCCGGTGTGGCTGCCCCGCCTGGCTGACCTGGGGAGGTCTCTAGGCCTTTCAAGCCTCCACTTCCTGCTCTGTAACACGGGGTGATGCAACAGGGGGGCGCACTGGACAGATAAAGGGGCCTGTCCCCAGGGCTCTTAGGCCTGGGCCTGGCCTACGGGGGTTCCTGCGGTGCCCCCAACCGGGCGTGGAGAGCACGGACAGCAGGGCTCCCGCTGAGCAGCTCCGGGAGGGAAGCGGAGGAGAGCAGAGGCCCAGCGCACCCAGTCGCAACCTCTGTGCGGGCGGCCTGGCCACGGCACCTCACCCGCAGCCTGCCTGGGCAGCACAGAGCACCCGCCTCGATCCCGGCTCTCTACCTGCCGGGTACCTCCACCGCCTCGGCCCCCAGCCGGGGGCTCTGTGGGGAGCAGGAATGCGGGGCTCCCTGCTGCATGGTGCCTGTGGGCCTGGGGCTGGGGGTGTCTGGGCGCGCCCGGGCTGGGCCTGGCTCAGCCTGACGCTAGACCCGGGTGCCTGGCACTTTCCAAGCTGTGTGTGATGGCCCCGGCTCAGGCCAGCGGTCGGGGTGCCAGCTCTGGGGGCAGGGCCTGTGCCGCCCACGCTGGGCCCCACTGCCCCCCACCCCCGCAGCCCCGGGCCAGGCACCCTGCGCTGGCCGGAGGAGCCCTCCCCTGTGCCTGGGCCCCCAGCAGCAGCCAGCACCAGGCATTGGTCCTGGGGCCCTCAGCCATTGGGGGGGCAGAGGCTCCTCCCAGGCCTGCCGGGCAGAGTGAGCGCCCGAGGCTGTGCTGCAGCCTGGCGGCCTCACGAGCAGACGCCACTGCCGCTTCTCACGCCAGGCCCCGGCTGGCGCTGGGCTGAGCCTGGCTGCCCACGCCCTGCCCCCGCCCACGCCAGCTGGCTCCCCCTGGCTGCCCTGGGGTCCACAGTGCTCCCCAAAAGTCAGAAGGAAGAGGTGGGGTCACCTGCTCCTGAGGCCTGGCCTGGGAGTGGGCCGGGGCCCCCGGCAGATGCAGGGATCCCCGAGGCTTCCTCACGCTGAGACAGGGGGGCTCCCACCATCTCACGGGCAGACCCTGAGCAAGTCCCCCCTCTTAGAGAGCTGCCCCCACCCCGGGGCACCCCAGCGCCCCCAGTCTGAATTCAGGCTGGGGAGTCCCCAGGGCCCAGTTTCTGTCCGGCCTGTGCCAGGCGCTGACTGGCCAGGGCGGGGCCCTCGGCCACCTGCTTCCCTTCCTCTTTGGGCCCTTACTCAGCGCCCGCCGGCCCTTCCCTCGCGTGACGCTTCGGGTCTCGGAAACAGCTGCTGCTGCAGAAGCCTCAGCCCCACCCCGCCCCCGCCCCAGGTCACCCCAGGCACTGGAGGTCTCCAACTCCGTACGCCCCAGGCTGGGGCTCCCGGCCTGAGGGGCTGGCAGCAGCCCCGGGCTTCCTGCGGGCATTGCCCCCCGGGCGGGGGGGGTGAGCCTCTGGCCCCTTGTTTGCCCAGGGGCTCCCGAGTCCGGGCAGAGGGAGGTGCCCGGCTGGCCCTCGAGGCGGCGTTAGCACCAAGAGAGCGGCCCGGTGCTGAGGGCACGGCCCCGGCCTGTCTCCCCACCCTGCGGGCCCACCCGCCTGTCCCTCGTCCTGAAGCTGACCAAGCTGCCATTGACCAGGCGGCTGGCCCGGGTCTGGGCCGGGGCCATGGCATTAGCCGGGGGACAGGCCACTGCGCCCCGCCGCCGGCCCCCAGGCAGCGTCACTGACCGCGTGTCCTGGCCCCCCCAGACCCGGCACAGGGGTCGGTGTGCCGGCCGCCTGCTCCCACGCGGGAGCCTCAGGACAGGCCGGCCTGGCCCCTGGCGCCCCGGGGGCCGTGCGGGGAGGAGGCCAGAGGCAGGCCGGGCCGAGGGCACAGCCGGCCAGAAGGCGTGTGGGCGACCGTGTGGGCGCCGGAGGAACATCCCGGCTGCAGGCCCAGCTGAGTCAAGGAGGCGCTGGGAAGCCGGAGGCACGTTTGGGGACACAGAGAACCCTGGGGGTGAGGTTGCCTGAGCCCCGGGAGGGAGGGGGAGCGGAGTCTGCTTCCTCTCACAGCAGCGTCATCAGCCCAGCCAGGAGGGGCCTCGGGGCGGGCGGGGGCGGGGGCTCCATGTGTCCACCCGAAGCTGGGAGTAGGACGAGGTCTTTGGCCCGAGCCCCCAGGCTGGCCTGCTCTGCGGCTGGCTGTTCTGAAATCCCCAAGCGCGGCCCCTGTGGGCGCGGGGTCTCTGCCCGCCCGCGCTCCGCAGTTCTACCAAGCGGGCCCCGAGTCTGGCCTTGGATGCGGGGCGGACCGTGGCAAACCCCCACACTGGCCACTTGCCTGTGAACACGAGTCGGGGCGCCCCAGTCTCCTGCGGGCTCAGGCCCAGGCTGCGGGGTGCCAGCCATCGGCACGGAGGGGCTGTGTGTGCCGGGGCGGGCGGGCGGGGCTGGCACATGCTGTGAATCACTGAGCTGCCTCTTGGCACCCTAAGCCTCAGCGGGGGGCGGGCGGGCTGCCTGTCCTCCCGCCCGTCCAACCTTGGGGTGACCCTCCCCGGAGCAGAGCTCTCGCTGCCAGCCCCCTGCCTTTGGCCAGACGTCTGGCCCGGGAGTGGCCGCCCGCCGGCCCCCGCCCAGCTCCTGCGGGCCGGGCGAGCTGGGGGCAGGCTCTCCCTGGCAGCCTCTCCCTGCCATCTTCCCCGTCTGGCCCGGGTCTCGGGGCCCACCCCTCCGCCCTCACTGCGGCCCCCTCGGCGTTAAAGCCAGACAGCCCTGGGCCCAGATACCAGTCCTGCTCTCCGCACGCCAGGCTGCGGGGACGGCGCTGCCTGGGGCCCACGGAGGCCGCGGCCAGCTTCCCTGGAGAGGGCCGCGGGCCCGCGGGGCCGCCGTGGTCAGGATCGCAGCTTTCGTTTTCCAACCTGATGAAAGAGCCCAACTGACCTGCGGCTTTTGCTGTCCGTGTAGCGGGTTTTGCTGTTTCCCCCCAAACTTGGGGGTGTCTGCGCTCACCCCCGCTCCTCCAACCCTCCTGGCCCTCCCGGCCCCCCTGTCTGCATCACACCCTGTGCCCACCGCGTGGCATCGGGCAGCAGAGCGCCGGGCCCGCGGGGGAGGCAGGGCTGGGGTCGGCCGGCTGCGTGGCCAACCAGGGGACAGAGCCGGGGGAACCTGGGGGGTCAGCGTGGCCTCGCAGGAGACTCCCGCCCTCTGGCCCTGGGGGCCCCTCGGGGCCTGTACCCAGCGCGGGTGGGAGAAGCGTCTGAGTTCCCAAGAGAGGGGCCCTGCCGGGCAGCAGGAGACAGCGCTGGGGCCGCCCCACGGCACCCCCGTGAGCGCTTCCACTCCTCATTGAGAAATCCTGCTGGGCTCCCGCTGGGCCGGGGGGCCGGGTCGGAGGTCATGGGTGGGGGGAGAATTGCGGGGGGGCCTACATTTTTCTCCTCTGAAAACTTATCTTAGCAAAGAGCCCACGGAACAATCGCACTCTTTTCCAGCCCCTGCGTCCCCAGACGGCCGGCCTGTGCTCTCGGTGGGGGCTCCCCGGGGCCGGGAAGTCGAAATTTGTAAAATGTCTGTAGGAGGGGAAGAAAGACGCTTTGTGTGGGGCCGGCCCGGCCATTGGCCGCTCCGAGGCCCCCGGCTGCTCCCAGAATGCTCCCCTCCCTGGGAGGGCCACGCTTGCTGGCCCCAGGGTCCCCGCCGCCCCTCTGCAGGCCCTGTGCCCACCGTGACCGGGCCTCGGGGGCCCAGGTCCCCGGGGCCACCAGCTTCTGCGGGCGCCGGCCGGCAGGGAGGCGCCCAGGCCTCAGCATGTTTCTCTACTGGAAGAAGCGGGGTGCCTACGAGCTGGAGGCCCTGCCCAGGGCGCTGGCCGAGCTGGAGCTGGGGGTTGCGGAGCGCTTTTCCTGGAGCTCCACCCTGGACATCATCGAGGACCTCGGGGGTAGGTGCCGGCCCGCTGGGCCAAGGGGGCCGCTGGGAGGCTCCACGGACACCTGGTCTACCTGGCGCTTCCTCCGGCCAGAGCCAGTGGCCGCTCGCACGCACACGCTCCCTGGTCACTTACTGACTTGGGGGCCAGAGCCCTCGCAGAGGCCTCTGTGGGGGGAGGAAGGGGCCTGGTTTGAGGGCCAGGGGCCCAGGAGCAGCGGGGCCAAGGAGCCGTCCTCCCGGGGATGCGCCTGACCGCCGTGGGGCCGGCGGCTGGGCTCGGTGCCGGGCAGCAAGGGCTGGGGGCTTCAGGCCAGACTGCCCTGTCCACCCAGCCCAGCTCTGATCCTGACACTCTGAGGCCTTGGGGTGTCCAGGGCCCCAGGATGTGTGTCCTTTCTGTGCCCCACGGAGATAAGCAGAGCAGAGGCTTGGAGCCCAGAGCGGCAGGTGGGGTGTGGGGGTGCTGAGGCCTGTGTCTGGATGCCCCCGGCGAGCTCCAGACAGGCAATGCCGGGAGAGTGGCTGTGTCGTGGCTGGAGGCAGCAGAGCGGGTGGGGGGGGCGACCTGTTCACACCACAAGGCTCCGGGCTGGCTTACCGCCGTGATTTTATCAGCTCAAGCGTCTGGGTCGGGCCGGTGCCTCCGGTTCCTGCGGGGCCTTGGGGCCGGGACAGAAGGCTGGCCTGCAGGAGCCAGGAGCACGGGCCTCGAGGGGTCCTGCCCTCCGTCCCCCCTCAGACCCCAGGCTCTGGGCTGCCCAGCCCCCCCACCACCCCACCATTCCAGCCTGGCAGACAGAGGCCCTTCCCTGAGGGACGGACAGCCACAGGCAGCCTGGCCCGCAGGGTCCTGGGCCACAGATGTCGCTCCCGGGGGGTGGGGGGGGTGCAGTGACAGCTGTCCTGTGCCCGACGGCCTCTCCCTGCTGCCCACCTCCGCAGCGGACATGCCAATGGGGTGGGGCGATGCAGCTTCGTGGTGGGGGCATTGTCTGGCTTCATCTGGGCATTGTCTTCGAGCCGGAAGGAGGGCTGGGGGCTGGTGTCTGGGGGGCTGGGGGGGGTCTGTCTGGCAGGTTCCTGTCCACTGAGGCAGATTCGCTGGCCGAGCAACAGGCAGTGCCAGAGCCGCGAGGAGCCACTGAGCCGGTCCCCGCCAGAGGCCAGGGGAGCCCCCGGGCCTGCAAGGTGCCTGCTTCCAGTTCAGGCCCGCAGCTGACCTTTCCTGGGGGCTGACCCCGCCCCCTGGCCCTGGTGAGGCCTGGTACCTTCATGCCCCTTTGAACCAGGGCTGAGTCCTGGGTTGCCCTTTGCACTGGAAGAGCAGGTCCCAGATACATGGACACCCCAGACCCACGCTCACCCACCAGCCCCCGAGCCCGCTCCACCCCCGCAGACTGAAAGGTCCCGCTCCGGGGCTTGGGCGATGGCGCAGGCACAGGTCTCAGGGTGAGCCAGCGGGCGCAGGGGCGAGTGGGCACACAGCTGTCCTTGGGCTCTGTCCTCTGCACCCGGCGGCCCCTGGCTTGAGCCCATGTGGGTGGGCGGGGAGCCTCGGAGACACAGCCTCATCGTGGGGCCGGGCTTTTGTGCGGTGGGAGGGTGCCATGATCTCAGACCCTCTCTGCAGCCCCGTGCCTTTCTCCCTCAGCCACTGTCAGTCCCCTTGGGGCCCTGGGAGGAAGCCCGAGCTGGCCAAAAGGGCAGGTGCCCATGGCAGCCTCGGCCAGAGGAAGTGGCCGGCTGGCTGGCTCGAGGCCTGGGTGCAGGAACTGTGTGGCCAGTTTTTAAAGCCCAGGAAGGGATTCAGAATGTGACTTCCTCCTCGCCTCTGACCCTGAAGGCTGTGGCTGGCAGGGCAGCAGCTGGGGTCACCAGGCCCCAGAGGATCGTGGCGCTGGGCTGCAGGCAGGTGGGTGTCGGAGGCCGTTGTCCGAGGTCCTGGCTCTTCCGAGACGCCCTGGTGCTTCGGAGAGGCCACGTTTCTTCCCGGCCAGGTGTCTCCCCGGGAGGCTGGCAGCCACCCCCCAGGATGCGTCTTTGGGCAGCCCTGGCGGAGGGGCCAGCCTTGCCCAAGCCTGGACGAGCTCCTGGCGGACTGGGCTTGTGCGTGGGAAGGGGTATTCAAGGCCGCAGCTGCTTCCTGGGAGGGGCACCTCGGGGGCGCGCGGGAGTCCGGGGGTTGGGAGGTGGTGGGCAGGGAGGCTCTGACTTCTCTGGGCAGAAGTGGCCACAGAGCAGGGGCTCCCTGGTCAGGGGCTCCCCGAAAGAGTGAGAGCTGGGTGGCTTCTTCCACATTTGAGTCAACCTGGGCCCGTTGTGCTGGTGGGGGGCCCAGCGGACAGCGGCCCAGCACCTGTTGGCCCCGGCACCGCGTGGGCATGAGGCAGTGTGGCCAAGGGCGAGGCGCGGGCACTGGCCTCCCTGCTCCGCAGCTCCGACCCACAGCCCCAGCTTTGGCCCTAGAGTGGCCACAACGGCTGCCTGAGGGCTCCGCCACTTCAGCTCCTCAGCAGCTACCTCGAAGAGCAGAACAGTCTGCACAAGCAAGGGGGCGTGATTTTCTTTTTAGGATTTTTATTTACTGTGCCTACAGAACTGGGGTACAGGCCAGAGGTGCAGGGGCGGCGAGAGGACTCCCCAGAGACAGCGTGGGGAGCAGGACAGGCAGATGGACAAAGCACACTGCGGAGGAGCAGCGGGGAGGAGCAGCGGGGAGACGGGAGAGGGCTGCCACGCCCTGGGGGTCCCTCCCAGGCCGGGGATTGAACTCAGGCCACAGAGGCTGCGGTAGCTTCACACTGCTGCGCTTTAACCCCTGCGCCACCAGGGCGGGCCAGAGACTAACTGACAGCGCCTCTTACTCAACGCCAGCATATTCCAAGCGTTACAAGCCCAACAGGGATGAGCAAAAGCGATCAGTGAGGTTCTGGCAGTCTCCAGAAGTTTACAGGTAGGCGACGCTGTGGCCTGGCCACACTTGGGCTCTGCAGCTGCCAGGGCTGCCCCCAGGATCAGGGGTGCTGCAGAGGGCTAGGGGCGGTGGGGGGGCGGGCTGAGAGCACGCTGGGAGCACACCAGGCCCGGCAGGCAGAGGCAGGCAGAGCCGAGGTGGCTGGCAGAAGCCATCCGGAGGGGAAGAGGGGTCAGAAGTGACAGGTCACCCCAAAGGTGAGCCCCTCCCGAGTCAGGAGCGTCAAGGAGAGAGATTCACCTGGACTGACACTGAGATAGGGAAGTCTCTGGAAGAAGAGCGGCTGGATGTCAGGGCAGCGGTGGGCAGGGCGTGGCAAGAGGGCCAGAGGCCGGCCGAGGGCTGGCGCTCGGCTCCCTGCAGGGGGCGGTGCTGAGTCGCCGAGCGGCAGCTGTGTGAGGCCGCAGGGAGTAGTGGGGCCTGGGCAGACCTGGGGCAGACAGGGCCGGGCCCCTCCGGTCTGTCAGAGGACTCAGAAATCTGGATTTTATGTGAAATCTGGCTTTTCAAAATTGGCAACTAACTCAAATTCTTGGGGGCAGCGGACTTGGCCAAACCAAGCCAGTCTGCCGCCGGCGTCTGCCCAGGCGCCCGTCAGGCAGCCTTGTGCGAAATGGTTCCGGGAGGAACAGTCCGCAGTCCGCAGCCGTCTAAGACGGGGCCGCGCTGGCGCGAGGCTGTGCTGGGCCCTGGCGTTCCCAGGACCGGGGCGTCAGAGGCGCGGGGCGCAGTGGGCTGCTCAGACCCATGGAGAGGCCGGGCGCCCCGCCGGGGTGAGGGGCACGCCCAGGGCTCTGGTCCGCCTGGGCCTGGGGGAGGCCGACCTGTCTCAGGCACAGGAGGCGGGTCCCCCGCGGCCCCTCCGCAGGGCCAGACTCACCTCTTGCCCTCTGTGCCAAGGCCCTCTCCTCTGACAGGCTGCTCTGCGCTCCTCTTGTTTTGCTCCCCAACAATCATGGGGTCCTCTACCTACTCACACTAGCCTACCAAGTCAGGGCTTCATGGCCCAAAAGGCTCAGGAGAGAGAATCGACCCGTCTGGCTGTGCCCGACACCCCCGACGCCCCATCAGCCATGGGGGTGACATCCCTTGGGATGTGAGTCGCGTAGCCTGCAGGGGCTGGGGCTGGGGTACCTGCCCCAAGACCCACGCACCACCCCAGCACGCGGAGGCCCCTTGTTCCCTCCCTGCGTCTCCGTTTCCTGCGTAAAAGCACCCCAGGGGCGGCACTTAGAGCAGAGCAGAGAGAAGGCCCCAGGGCAGCTATAGCTAGCGCTGGGGTCTACACTGGGGTCTACACTGGGCGCTGAAAGCTCCCCAGCGGCCAGGGAGCTCGGCCCGGCAGGCCCTGGAGCCTGGAAGACCCAGGCAGTCCCAGAACCTTCAGCTCAGCAGGCCCAGGATGGCGCGGGGAGGCCGCTGGGGGTGGGCGCCTTCTGCCACCAGACCGCGTGGCCCAGGACATGGGGGGAGCAGCCTTGTGTAGCAGAACTGGGCCCAGTGGTCCGGGCGAGGAGTGGGAGCCCAGCCCGGGGCCCAGAGCTGGGGAGTTCAGGCCCAGGGCCCCGGCAGGGGGAACTCCCCAGGCTGACTCAGGCCTCTGGGTGTCCTGGCGGCCCGTGGCAGGGTGGGCCCTGCAGCTGTGGGAGAAGAGCCTCCTCCCTCCTCACCTTCCGGTCAGCTGCCTCTGGCAGGCACCTCCAGGACTGCTGACCCCTGCGGCAACTGTCCTCACAGGGCGGTCGGTCTTCCACTTCCCCAGGGAGAGTAGCCATGTGGTGGACAGAGCAGGCAGGCAGGTGGGCCTGAGGTCCAGGCTGGATCACCTCTTGGAGCCCCATGTCCATGGGGAGCAGAGGAGACCCAGGGCACGGGCACTGAGCCCATGGCGCTGCAGCTCGACCCGCGAACCTCTCCCTACTGCAGCCCTGCCCACAGGGCCCAAGGGAAAGCGCCCCGAGACTTGCCGAGTCATCTATGGGTCCCCTTTCTAGGGCCTGCAGGGGACTCTCCAGCGTTTGCTGGATGAATCCAGAGAGGCTGGGAGACCTGGGAACCCCCACAGCGGCCATCCCTGAGCACTGAGCTGGGTTCTGCTCACTGGGAGTCCCCTGGGCTGGCCGCATGGGGATGCGTCTGGGAAGGCTGGCCCCAGGTCCAGCTGAGGCCTCGGCCCAGAGCGAGTGCAGGAAGCCTTTGGAGAGAGACTCAGCCCCCCTGAGAGGGGGCTAGGTCCGAGCAGGGGATCCCTGTGTCGCCTTGGTGCCCTCAGGTTCCTGTGATGCAAAGCATTTAGTCACCACTCAAGCGTGGCCAAGCGCAAGTCCAGGAGAGTGGAAGCCTGCAAGTCTGGACTGGGGTCCCTTTGGGGTGTCTTAGGGGTCCCTTTGGGGGCAGTGGCATGCGTGTGCAGGTGAGGCCCCTTCTGGGTCCTGGCCGCCCTGAAGCTATGTTCGTGGACACGGGCCGTGCGGCTCTTGCACACCTGGCTGAATTTCCCCAAGTCTGAAAAAACGCTCACGCCCCGCAGAGGATAATCAAACCACGGGAGTCCCTGGGCCCACTCCCCCCACACCCCATAACCTCGGGCACAGCGTTTCTAGGCCGGAGAGGGCCTGCAGGGGCTGGGAGATGGGGCGCAGGGCGCTGCCCCCCGACCCCGCGAACCCCCTCCCACACCGGGCGCCAGGACACTCTGGGGGTGCCTGGGGACCCGCGGGAAGAGCGAAGTTGACCAGACGCGCTCAGCGCCGCTTTCCGAGACTGAGAACATGTCTCCCGACCACATCAAAAAGGAGGTGTCGCCCTTCATTTGAGGGGGCTGGGAGGCCGAGGGAGTCGCGGGGGCGGGAGGACGCG